GGGTTATTCATGGTAGTGTACTTGGCCCTCTACTGTTCTTACTATACGTTAATAACGTTACCGACTTGATCACCCATGGATCCATTTTCTGTTCGCTAATGACATTAAGATAACTTACACGTTTAAGGCCAGTGACTCCGTTTCTACTCTTTCTAACATTCAGTCTGACCTGAATCCTTTGTCACTCTATCCTCCAACTCTTGTCTTTCCTTCGCTGTTCCAAAATGTCAAGCCCTGTCACATCGATTCTCAATTCCTCCTTGGGAGCTTACTCTTAACGGACTCTCGATTCCTACTCTTCCCGAAGTGGGAGGCTTGGGCCTTAGGTATTCCTGTACAGCAAGCTTCAACCAACATGCAACGTACAGAGTGACTAAAGCTCGCAAGCTCTGCGCTTACATTCACCGATCATTCCATAATAAATCATGTTTAATGGCCATCTTTAAACAATTTGTAAGACAAACTTGAACCCAACCCTGAATTCGCCTCACAGTATTCACAAGCATGCCAGACCGCTATGGAGAATGTGCAGCCCTCGTTTACCGGCGTCATCCACACCGCTGTATCGTCTTCGCTGTTTGTCAGTTAGGCTAAGGAGCATCAGGTTGAATCTAGGCCTTCTGCATCGCTTAATCTACCGGCAGGCTTACATAGCTGACTGCTGCCCTGAACTTTCATCCTGTACTTCATATAATATCCGTAACTCTGGATGTTTACTCCCATTGTCGACATGTCGAACTGCCTTTAGACAAAGCCTTTTCCTTTGCCTGTGTTCCAAACTATAGAACAAGCTCCTTTCCTATATCCGCACTATCTCATCTGACGTAGGCTTTTGAAAGACCATCGATTCTTGCCTTTATATTGAGGGAGCCGAGCGCCTTTTCGAACCTCAGCTTACACTAGGCCCTTTTTGAAATAGGCCCTAAGCCCTTCTAATCTGCTCACTCATTTCGACTGTCCTGTTACTAGGTCCTAGCCAAAACCCCTTGCGTTAACCCACAAGTGTGGCAGCCACCCTCCCAGATGTTCTTGTCCATAACTTACCACTTTATCCATCTATTATGCGGATGTTCACTTCCTGCGATTACGTCTTCCGCCCTCTGAAGCGTAGTTGAATTGCAGAGGACGTCTAGCGCCCATCTCCACTGATCTGGTTGTATTTCTTTCCTCCGGCTTTAGGATTTGGTACCCAGCCAGATTATTTCTTGTCCTTCAACCCTGGTCCTATCCCTGAGTGATTCTATCAGCTCTATTTAATGTCCGGTGCTTTGCTTTGACGGGATTTAACTAACCTCAGCCTGACTGAAGCCTGAGCTCCTCTCTGTTCTGAACCATTCTGCATCCCCCGAACACGCGTAGCACACGCGTATCCAACGGTAAGTCTGAAGATGCGATATGAAGGAAATATTTGTTTGGCCCCACAACCCACTCATCCATACACTCGCGTGACACCGGTGTGACGCTATTTGGCAAGGCGGTTCACACCAACAATTCTTCTTCGTCTGGTCACAGTAATCAGAACCTGAATATCTCCGTTGTACTCCCATAGCACAAAAGGTAGTTGATGTTCCATTTGCTTCTGCGACTTGCCTCTTCCAGTGGCTGTTTGTCGTTTGCTTGCTCTAAATGACTGGTCTGCTTTACTGGCCTGGCTTTCTCCCTGACCGGATAATATATCTGGTGAATGAAGTTATTCAATAACGCACAAACCGCAAGTATGGCTACTCGGTGGCTTCTCAACCTGCAGGTCTGGTGGCACGTACGAGGGATGAAAACCTCGTGTGGTGGACGGGTACACCCTTAAGAGAGTGTCACCCTGTTACGTTGCTCCATGGTGCGATCGTACGCTCGCCACCCCTCCAGTGGCACGGGTGTATTGCCCATCGCCGGCAGTTCTGAACCTGGCCTTTAATTCAGGAAAACCAAAAAAGAGCAGTTGTTGTTTGTCTATAGCTGAATTGGCCCTTTTCCGGTTGTCACTTGTCTCACAACACCAAGAAATACAAGCGAATGACAGCTGTCCTTCCGTTTGTTCTGAAAAAAATAAAAAACTAATAATGCATGGGGTAGCCTGAGGGTATTGTGTGAGGCTCACGGCCAACGCCGACGTGCAAGGAGTCGCAACTTTCGTCGTAGTTGTGTCACACCACTCCAAGTCCACTTCATCATCCAGACATAGCACACACGTTCCTCTCTCTTGCCGTCTTGAGCGATCACATGCATACAATGCTAACAACTTATCATTTACTTATTGCAAGCTGTCACAGCTAGCGCCTAATAGCTCTTTTGCCATGCACCATTCATTTTCTGGAGTTGACAGCAGCGACTCGGCAACTGGTTGACGTAGTAGACCTCAGTTAAGCTGTCGCTTTTACGCTTTTTACTTGTCCACTTTCAATGCTCACATTAACCCCTCTTTCTGCACAGCAAGGACCCTATGTCATGATGCTTTGGTGAGCTAAGAAATGCCGCCCGTTCTCAACTAGTCCAACAGCCAACCTCCCTGCTAGCTACCTGGATGGCAAAGTTTTCACCTTCCTAAAACTAGACACCCACCTAGGCCCAACTAGCACTTGGTTTCTAGATCAGCAAACTTATTCACCTTCCTTGGGTCCATTTAGCTTGTTGCCATCCCCTTACTGCTTTCATTATAATTTTCTTTCCCGTCGCCCCTCTTCCCAAGCTTCAAACCTCGACTGCATTTGCCCAAGCGCTCCGTAGAACTTTTATTCATTCAAACTGCCTGGCACCCGGTCCAAACTCACACGATCCTCCAACGAAAGGAAGATTATCCGTGAGCCTACATCTGTATGACTATCTGTGTCCACCTTCGCCTCACCCAGAACCAGCTGCCACGGAACTGCGTATCCCTTCTCCGATCGTGGTACTCTTGACGACTGTTACGGGGCTGTCCATAAACTGAAGCATGTCAGTGCGATAATGGCCTGGCACTGTCATACCCAGTGTGGTGGCACTCCCGCAACTATTTTCTCCAGAATCTCAACTGCAACCCCTCGCTCACTCAAGCCTGTAGTCAACGCCACGAGCACATTTTACACCCAACCCCGTCTCTGGGATGAGCTATTCCGCACCCGATAATCTTTCGCTCGAATTTGGTCAGCCTAGTTTTCCTGCTGTAATTTCGGCTTGCCTCCTCCGTAAGTTCAAATCCGTATACGGTGTTCGGTTCGCCCTATGTATTAACAATTTGCCCCCATCCAATCTATGCCCTGCAGCTGACTTCCATACAACGGTGCAACTAGTGAATCTGCTTGGTTTCAGATTAAACCACATTTTTGAGACAAAACTCGCCATGTGCTCCCAATTTGAATTGTTCCATTTCCATCTCCACTTTTGCTCGTTGTGACTCCGGCCATTTACCCAACCGCCCAAGGTCACTCATGGCCAGCAATGGTTTTCAACTTGCGCCGGCGATTACATTCAGCACTCGGAGGAGAAAACGTTTGGTCCCTTGGTATCCTAGCTCAGCATCGCCGCTTTTATACAAACGGGCATACTGGTTGCCTGAAGGAAAAGCTCCACTGCCCTGAACCCCCGCCACAGAGGGCAATACACCTTTAACTTCAAACGTGATACAATTTATTGCGGCTCTTCATCGGGCTGCATCCTGATCGCCTGGTTCGGCCTACCATTTGGAAACTGAATCCAGTCCTGCATTGTCATTGTAGCACCTTAGCCCGAACTCCACTTTGTGACAGAACGCTGTTGGAGGTATCCTAAGGCAGCACACTAATAAAAAAGTTAAAGGGAGTGATTACAGAATGGGCGTGTCCTTCTCCGATTGATGCGATGATTTCGGGTTAAAGCTCACTTTGTACGCACGCGCGCAAACAGTACATGTAATATCAGAATACACTCTGCGAGTTAGTAAGGGTACTCATGAATTGAACTACTCAACAAGTTGCTAAAAACCTGGCTTGCGTATTAGTCAACAGACGGTAGCGCAAAAATATACTGCACACCCCAGATATTTCGCAACAAGTGGGCTTCAAACTAAACGTCAAAATTACTCACCACGTCAAATCATGCTCTCCTAAAGCGAGAGACTCTTGACAGTGTCCTGCTATTTTCAATGCTCTGTTTGGATGTGACTGCCATGACGATAGCAGGTAAGTGTCCTAAGTCTAAGGACAAGGCAACTAGCACAAAATTAGTGAACTCATTATTAGAAGGAAGAAATCGAACGAAAGAAACAACCACGAACCCCGGAGTAGGAGCGCGGCCAATCCACACGATTTCTCCAAGCCCTGACTTTGTCTCATTGAACCAGTAGGGGAATGATGGCATTTGCTTAACATTTTGATCATGTTGAGTGCCTTGTAATTTGGCTGATGGTGGCCGCTGGGAGTTGTCTACTTCGGGTCAATCACTTAGTTGCGTCCGGTCCGGTAATCGAGTTTCCAGAATAATTTATTTGAGCTAATCCCCAGGTCTGCCGGACGGTCCAAGTGGTTAGAGCGCGAATTTACCGGCTAGAATGTCCACAGTTCAAACCAGACCGCTACCTCTTGAATTCCCCTGTCTGGCAGTATCCCATCTCTTGTGCCTTCTTTGTGTGGCATGGTAGCTAGGCCCCGAAAGGGTGCTACAGCCGAACGCTTTAATATATTTGTCATTTATTAAAAATATCCCTCAAACCATCCAGAAAGTCAAAGCAAATTTTTATGCAAAGGTTTATGGTTCCTCCTTAGTTTCTCAATAACTCAGAGGCATAATATTAGCTACTACATTCTGCACTGGGAAGTTCCGTTTCGATTGGAAGTACCGCCCCTACTCTTGTGATTTGCGTCTTCTAAATATGACTTAGCAGGAAGATAGATTTCACTCTAGGTTTTTTTACTTCGTATTCCTCACACAGGTTTGCCTGTTCGAATTGACTGAGCTGTCTTTACTGGCCTTACTTTCCCCAACCAAAAATAGTAGCTGGAGTATTTGTTAATGCACAAACCGCCCTTATGACTGCTTGGATGGCTTTCCACCTACCAGATCTGGTAGCAGGCACGAAGGAAGAAAACCTCGTGTGCTGGACGGGTACGCCCTGCAGGGAGGGTCACCCTGTTACGTTGCACCATGGTGCATTCGTATACCCGCCACCCCTCCAGTGGCACGGGTGTGGAGTGCACTCGTGGCACGAGTGCATCGCCCATCGCCGGTAGTTGGCACGGGTGGTGCACTCGTGGCACGAGTGCATCGCCCATCGCCGGTAGTTCTGAGTCTGGCCTTTAAATTCAGGAAATCAAAAAAGTACGTACTACTTCTGTTTGTTTTTCCTGGTGTTAGGCTCGCCTCTTTGGAGCTATGCATCTGGCAATGCCATAAACCACAGACTAAAAAACTGGACTCTCATCTGTAAAAAATTTAAAAAATCACTTGGGATAGCCCGAAGACACTGTGCAATGCCCATGGCCTACATCGGCGAGCATAGTTGCATCTGCTTTCGTCAGAACAGAGGCTCTACCGCACCAAAGCCCATTCCCTCATCCAAACGGAGAATACATCTCCTCACTACTCCC